CGTCTGGTTGCCCTGACAAGTACCCCAGCTTACGTCACACTGGTCGTTGATATGTGATGTGCATCATAAACAGGGTTTCAGATGTAAGCACAGTCGTTGGGCTAACTGCTCTATTACCCCACTCGCTTCCAGCTGTGCTTTTTAGCGGTTCAGAGGCCAATGCGGCAGGATGAGCAGGGGATCTTTAGCTGACTGAATGCCCTTTAGGAGTCACCTCTTCGCTCTGTCTGGTAACGTCTGGGAATAAGTCTCATAATCGGAAAGTTGTTCGCTTTTACTTGCTTTTATTTACTCCCACTTACGTCCCAAATGACCAACTCTGGCACCATGAAAGACAAGATGTTGCTGTTAATCGATGTCAGTGTCGTTTATCCTGTCATTTTCTGTCTGGAATGTAAGCGAGGCTGATCTCCCCTACGCGTCCACTTTTTTCTCTCCATCGTGGGGCTTTCAAACAAATTATGGTTTTACGGCAGTGAAGCATCGGTTTTGAGCACTGATATTGTGTTGTCGATGGTGACGATGACATACTCTTGAAGCTGTCCCCTAATTCACACATTTGCAGGTCTAAAGCTGTGAACGTTAGCTTCCTGTAATTGGTTCCTATTTAGCATCTGTATCAGCCAGAAGCTGGATCACGGAAGACACTTGTTCACTTGTTGCTCGCTTCTTCCATCATTAAGAGTACGTTGGATAATGTGGTTTAATTTTTCCTTCATATGTGCCTGTGTAGACTTCATCGCACATTCAGGTGACTGCACTTCTGGTCCACCTGATTTTCAGTAGGATTCTTGGATATGCTACACTGTCGCTCTGCTCTGTGTCCAGTAGCAATGATTCCCGTGTTAAATAGATGGATCAATACACGTTCTTCCCGTAGTTTGCTTCATATGAGTTATCGATCGGGCTCTATAGGACTAAAATGAATCGTCCGGATGATCCCTCTTCAGGGCTTTCATGTGAAACTGGAGAGCACACCAAGTTCAGAGATTCGTGTGACTCTGTAAAACAAGGCATGTACCTGTGCCGGACAGAATTCGGCAGGTTTTGGTGTTATTCTGCTCATATCTCTCTCTGATTAACCGCAGCACCCTTCTCTTCATCTAGTTATGTGCGCCTAAATTGCTGACAAACTTGCCCTTTATATCTTTGCGTTGGGTGAATTGAGGATGAAGGATGCTTCTTTCGTATGTGACGTCTGGTGATGCGAATGTCATCGAAGCAGCTTCTGTACAGCTTTGGTTGGTTGGTTTGTTCCACAGCCGGCATCAGGCTTAAGGGACTACGTATTCACCAACATTCAGGTTGTTTGCATTTAGAGGCTTAAAGATAAATTCTTTGTGCAAAATAACATAAAGCCGTGAATGCTTACTGGACGAACCATGAGAGGACCCATCAAGAATGTAGGTAGTCGGACCTGCGCCATAGCCAGCTACTGTAGTTTGAATTTTGATTTGACCAGCTGTGAGAGACGTATTCTCCTTAGATTCTCTGTTATTACCGCCAGTTTGTTACTGAGACGAAGCTTTACAAATTCTGCACAATCGTTTAGTGTAATCAGTTTTCCCTCGATTTCTAACTTGTAGCGCAACTTTCATAAACAGTCCCAATCAGATTTGGCATTATGCGGGAGTTTTTGTTTTAGGCCTGTGAACCACTTAGTCCCATCATGCTTCGATCCCTGGTTAGTGGCATCAAACCGTTCCAAGGGGTGCTCAGGAGCGGGCCGTGCCCGTTACCGAGTCTTTGATCTATATACTCTTCATGTTGCTGGCGCTATACCAGCATCCATCGGAGAATTCCAATTTGGCATTCCTCTGTAAGATGCAAGCCCGCACAGTCATCATAAACCATGGAGTGCACCAAATGTGGGCTTGGAAACAACCAGCATGTAGATTTAGTTGTGGGGGAAGCATCTGGTAGAGTAGAATACCGCTGCGGCAAATTTTCTCGTAATTGCCCCCTAAAGCTCAAAGGCTATTTTCGCTAGTGTTAATGGACACTGATTACGCATGTCTTCTGGCAAGGCTGATTCTTCATTTCTGGTTGGCCCTGATCTTCCGGGATTCTCTTGTAGTGGGCTGGCCCTCACGTCTATTGCGCTGTTGCCCTTTTACAAGGCGTTTAATACTCTAGTTGTTCATCGGCGACACTTATTGATCAATGTTTCAGGGAGAATTATTTTGCATTCAATAGGAGCTATCCTAATGAGGTTTGGTCACCAAAAACTTTTCGATTCGGAATGTGTCGTTAGCAGCACATTCGTGTATATGCGTTAAAATTGGATAAATTTCTTGCAACCTCGGTGGCGTCATAGCACTTTTCATCAAAGAAACATTCAAGGGAAGGCGTCACTCAGCTTTGCATATTTACACCCCGAAAACCTGTTTAATATGGGATCTGTTGGCCAACACACTGAACTATTTGTAGTTTTGAATACCTGTTAAGGATTCCCTATGTTCATTACTTTACTGCCATTTCCAACAGTCCTCTCTCCTGGAGACCTCATCTCGTATTAGTCGACAATTTTGGTAAATCTTGGAACTTTTTCCAATAGAGAGGGGCATTTTAGAGGGGGTCAACTTTTTGACATGACGGCATAATTCTTGGGAACAGTATTTACCCATTTGTCAATTTAGAGTGTTCGTTTCACCTGATATTTTCAAGTGAGTAGGCTGCATGCTGAGTGGCTTCTCGGTCATCAGAATGTTTCAAACTGATATTTACATTCGCAATAAATAATTGCTAAGAAATCAGGATCTATTTGTCAAATAATAATGAACCAATATTTCGTACTCGATAAGAAAGGTCATTCTAAGCATGGAACCCAGCTGAGTCCCTCGTTCATGATGTAGTGGTGTATACGAATTCCTTGTTTTGATCCTCCACATTTCTTTCCCATTCCAACTTTAGCAGCGTGACTCATTACCAGTGAACACATCATTTGGTTCTCCATAATTGAGTTGGCTGTTCTTTCGTCTCTTTCTCGCCTTCCAGTACACTTCATAAGAACATACTGTATATAAACGTTTTTCATTTGCCGTTGTGACTTGCATTCCCTGCCGACTAAGCATGACTGGATTTGGCACTGATTTACGCGGTTGCGGATTTCAAATAACTTATGTATAGTATTGCATATGATGGGACTTTGTGTTATCTTATTCTGCCAGTAATCTTCTCCCATGCACTGTAGGGAAGTCGCACGATGGTCTTTATGACAAGCGATGAATAAGTAACCGGATCATTAGTGACGTGACGTAGTCCTTATGATGGCCAACTGGTCAATCGATTGTGATTCACCGTTTTTTGTGGGTGTGCGAAGCTGTCAAACTCGATGACTGACAGTGTTTTGGGTAGGTCAATAGTTCCATCAAATCCTTTTTATTCAATGAAGAATGTTACATTTCTAATTTCTAAATCTATTAGCGACTGAGGATGCCGCAATCCTGTGCCTTACGGTAATCATATACTGGCCTTTTTCTGAGGTTTGTGCTCTTTGAGAATTCTTAGACTTAGACTAGACATAAGATCTACCGAAACTCGGGGACTGCGCCCACCTGCTGAGCCCCAAGAAGAGCGAAACCGGTCGTGGGCTGTCGAAGAATTCTCAGCAACCTAATGAGTAGTGCATTACGAATATAGAAGGTTAGCTAACCTAACAGTTAACATTCCGAAAAACCGAAACAAACGCGTGGGCTGTGAAGAATTCTCAGCAACCTAATGAGTAGTGCATTACGAATATAGAAGGTTAGCTAACCTAACAGTTAACATTCCGAAAAACCGAAACAAACGAGAGCTAAGTTTGCGACGTCAACATTTTGGCTCACGCTATTCATAGTCTCTCTTGAGAGTTCACTAAGCCTGGGCATCTAACGGAGGTGAAAAATACTGAAATATATGAACAAGCTGTCTAAGTTAGGGTTTGTTAGAACACCGATTCCGTTTGAAAAACGCCATAGTACTAGCATATCCGTATATGAGAGCCGTCAAGGTACACACGGACTGTAAGCAAATACACTCCTCGCATTACCAACGCCGATACCAAAGGTCGGTTTTTCCAGGTTTGAAAGCCATTCCTCTACCGACGCGTATGTGACCTCTTTTGCTTGTCCACAATACAGGTAGCGATTGTTCCGGCTGGTCTGCTGCTTCGACCGGCAGTTCAGGATAAACTGTGGACTCTCCGGCATAACGGAAATTTCCGAGTTGTCCAAGGACTCGAATACATATCACCGAATCCAGCGACATTAAAAACAGTAAAATGATCAAGCCTTTGGTAAATCGTTTATCCATCTGTAAAAATCTGCTGAAAGGGAAAGGATATGATGCTTTAAAAGTTTGGAGGAGCACAGTGCGACTTTGGTCATAAATACATTTGAATGGGTTTGCCTGTTCCACTACAACGACCCCTGAGACTTCATCCATTTTTCCCGAAATTTCATGAGGTGTTCAAAATGTTTACGGTTTCCATTGAAAATGAAGCAGCTGTACGGTGCTTTTCGGAATAGATTGGTTCCACACACGGGATGAATTCTCAATTGAAAACATAGTTCTGATGAATAGCGGTTACGAAGTGACCACAAGATCCACGCGATCTTGCTTTCATGTAAGAGAGTTCTAGTCACAGTGCACCTCCCCAAGGATTTCCTTCCTGGTCAGCTGTTTCAATGCTTTAAGGGACAAACTCGGTGTTGTTTCGCAACTTTTGTCTTACAGTTCAGTGGCAAGTCACCAAAATTTGTAAAGGACTGGTTATCTCGAGGAAGAGTGGCTCCAGTACTCATTAACAATGACCCTCAGTTCAGTGGTCACGGAATTCAAACCATCCTTGGCACGGCAATTGGGTTCTGTTCGGAGACCAGGTGTAGCTCTTTTAGTTTACTCTGGTGTGCATTCATATGATTCCAAAACAGGCCTTCTGTAGCTTTCAAACATTCCTTTTTAAGTACCTCATACGATGGTTGATTAGTCACAGCGTTTCCTCAAGAGGTGTTCAATTTCCAGTCCATTAAGAGCTTCAGAAACGCTTGGTAAACAAGCGATGGGTTCATTGTTGAGTTGAGGCGAAAACCTCATCAAGCCAAGTGTATGGACAGGTTGACCGCTTTTAGACGGTTGGATGACCAGCTATCAAAACTTTCTCGGACTGGGATAATAAATCAATAGGCTGCCTGTTGAAAGGTCTGGTTGGTGGATGCATAAGTCTTGAGGTCTTGTGGTTTGGGGGTTCAAGACCAGGATACTTTCGCGTTCGCCGAAGCGATCCAAAATGTGCATGGTAAACAGACGCATATGTCCATTATGCGTCTCGTCATAAATGCATTCGTTTTCGAAACCGTTGAGGTTATCTGCGGTCTGTCGGCCAATTCTAACGTAACTTCACCATTGTGGTCGTTGACTGTAAAGGACTGCTCTGCCCTCAGTACATTTATTTGATGGCACTACTTCGATACAAGGAGATGGATTTGCAATGAACCCTCTATTTGGTGTCATTCTAACTGATCTCATCAACCTCGAACACAGTTTTGCAAGTTGGATTTAAAACTTTATGCACAATGTTCTAATATTTTTTATCTCTGAATCAGATACTGCAACCTCCCTCATGGAAGGTCTCAGTAGTCAGTTTCAGTTTCTCGATGGTGCAGAGGCCTGAAAGATGGTTCACTTCGCAGGTGACATACGGAATATCTACATGTTCTGACCAGTGTACTAGCTTCTTCAACTCTGTGAATGGAGTCTATTGGACCCCTGCAAATGGCATACTAGAAGCTAAACGGGAGGAGCCATCCGGGAAAACTTCGATAGTGATCGGTCGCTCGCAGCAGTCCATGCGAATTAATTGATGCGAATGTTGAGTAGTAATAGATGGAAGTTCATCAGTCACAGAAAAAGCTTATATACGTTCGGCTGACACTTGGTAGCGATATGGCCTCAGAGAAGTTTATTCGTTGCCTAAATGTCTGCCCCAGAACGAGCGTTCAGTGCAACATAGCTGGGTATACAATTCAACAGTGGTCTGCGGTTTGTCCACGATTCCTGTGTGGTCACTTATTCCTTTGTTTGTGAAAATTTCGCAACTTAGTTGGACCGAACGACTTGAGGTCTATCTCAGAGAATCAAGGAGTCAATATTCATTCCCTTAAAAGCTGACACAATCGCTGGTGGCTTAACTGGTGCAAACCAACGGTCATTCGGTGTAAATTGTCGCGTAGCGAGCAGACTTAGACCCTACCTTGATCCACCAATCAACTTCTTACCAATAAATATAAATAGTGTGGTGACAGTGTATGCCATTCAAATCTAGTTTTCTATTTCGACGTATATTTCCGATGACCACAACGGCCATTCCCTCGTTGATGTTTATACGAGTTTCTAACAACTGTCGGTAAGTTTTTTCTTAGATGAGTGAGGACATACACGGCTCGTTTGTTCGAAAAATCGCAGGGCTCTTAGGCAAGTTGGGAGAACCACCACATTCTAATAGGATTACAATGAACTTACTAGCAAAATCGTGGGCTACCTCTGTAGCTAGATGACATCCTAATGACAGTGCTGAGCAGTGTATTTTTATTCGAAGTCAACATTTCACAACCGACTAATTTTTTGACTCCAACCAGGGGATTCCGGAAGTGAGTGCTATCACATCGAGTCCAGACGCTTTACTGTTTTGTGCTACCAC